TTTTTCAATAATGAGAACGAAAAAATTGTTTAATTTTATTATATAATTTGTTATTTTTAATGTAACATTTATTTTTTGTGTTTTAATATCTTTTTTATTTTTTTCAAGTGTTATTTAAATATTTTTCTAGTGTTTTTAAATCTTTTTTTGTTGTTTTCGGTGTTTACGATTTTTTTTTTAAATTGATCGACAAATCACCTGATCACACTAATCCGAAAACGGCGATAACACTAAATTATGTTTATTTAACATTAACTTATGTATTATTATTTACCTAAAAGTTTATTCTCCAGATAAGCATATTTCTAATGTATTATTAAAGAAGCAGGTTCTTCAAAGCGACATTGAAACATCATTATTGTTAAATTTCCGAGAAGAATTAAAGCTGGCTTATAAAGATTAAGAAACAATTCACTATACTTGATGGCATGATATCATTCTTTGGCTATGCGAGATTTCTATATGAAAAAGAAAACAATGACACTGTTCTATGCCGTTTCATATTGGGGATGTTGTATCAATCAATCTTGAAGAAGGAGACAATTTTGCGATTATAAGAGCGATATTCTGTCATCAACAAGAGAATAGCCTTCGTCTTGCTTTTATTATCGTTGATTGGTTCAAAGACATGAATAAAAAGTGCTAGGTTGTCTAGTATTCAGGTTAAGAACAACAAGTAATTGGCGAAAAGTTTTTCCATTAATTTAGTGAATACAATTAACACTGTACATTTCGTTCATATTTGATAAAAGTGAAGAATGCGTCGGAGGAGTTCACAATTCTAGAAATTGTTTGTATATGAGGAATATTTATTTTTTTCAAGGCTGTTTAATTGTTTATTATCCAAATTTATTAATAGAATATTTACATTTATTTTGCAATTTACACTTATTGAACATTTTAGATTTAGAATGTATACAATTAGATTCAGAATAGAACACTTTACTATGACTTTAATATTTATATAATAAAGCTTTAATATATATTCAATACAGTTTTAATTTGCATTCAATACAATTCTAACATACTTTCAATACAATTATAATATAAATTTACTTTACATTCAATATAACTTTACTTTACGTTTCATTATTTTTGTACATTCAGGTAAAATCAGGTGACACTTTCCTTAACATTTGATCAACTCTCTTTGTGCGATTTACATAAGCTTATCGTAACAACGTGAAACCACATCGTGACCAAATCTCGGTTATTAGGTCTACCATAATCCTTCAACTTGGTCACGATATGGTATGGTTACAATTTTAAAAGTTTCTGCAAAGTAGCTTTACTTCTTTTTATTATTCTTATCCACAATGTTAAGCAACCGTTTAATTTCAAAGAAAAAAAAAAAAGAATCTTTTATTACTAACTGAAATTTAGGTTTAATTTGCATCTGATGATCTTGTTTCGTATGTGTGTGTCACTTTAGCTTGTTAACCTTTTTAGGTATGGATTTAATGTTAATTATTATAAATGTCACACCAAAAAAAAAATTATAAAATAAATCCCAGCCCAACTTGAGCCATATATATATATTTTTTTTTAAATAATTAATAACCAAAAAAAGAAAAGGATGTTAGAATTTATTTTTTGTGCAGAAATTTCCAAAAGTATCGAAATTACAAAGACCGCTTTTAAAGCTTCGGGAACCGTAGAAGAAGCCATTAAACCATATTTACAATTAATCGCGCGAAGGTATACTTTTTGAAGTTATGAATTTTTGATGATCATTTCTGCATTTATTCACTTTTTCGCTTAATTTGTTCTTTAGTTGTACAGATCTTCAGCAATCTCTATATATTTTGATTGATTTTGGTAATGCACTGCGTGAACATTGAATTTGAAGTTTATATAGCTGTTTTATAAGCTACAGCTGCAGCTATAGTTATGCTACTATGTCCAAAAAAAAAAATTGCATATCGTGATTGGTTAGTCTGAAATTGAAATCTCAATTTCAGACACCCGAAAAACATCTGAATTCCAACTTTAGTCAGATACAATACCAATTTTTTTTTTATTAAATCTGTTCTTAAATGATTACTTAAATGAGATAATTGTGTATTAAAAAAGCTAATGATCATTTAATTAGTGAGGTAATAATCAAACGTCAGGGGTTTGAAGTTTCCAATAATTGTCCTGTTTCTTGCATTAAAAGACTTACGACCCATTTTTTATTTTTTGGAGCGTTTTCAAGGGTTAAATAAAGTAATTCTACAAAATTTAAAGTCTAAAAACTTGAAATGACGTAACTTAACTTATAACCGGACACGTGATTTCCTTTAAAACTGATATTATTCTATTCGATATATTTATGAAGAAAATTTTGTTTATTTTATCTTATAAAAATTAGAAATCCTTACAAATTGTATCCGTAGAGAAAGAAGTATTTCATCCTTTTGGCGATAGAGGAATTCTAGCCGGACTAGTATTTACATTCAATTTCGTGTAGTGTGTGCAACCACTAGCTCACAGGGGATCAAGTAGTTTATTACAAGGATATATAACCTCTTTTTGATCTTTGTATCCAATAGTTGTGACTTAATACGATTTTTTGTGTAGTTGGTTATTAGTCAAGTCTATGGAGACACGATAAAGGTTGAAAGTGTGAAGATGGAATTTTATTATTTCAAGATTTCGAACGTCTCTTGTCTATCTTTTCTTTGGACAAAGCGGATTTTCGGGGTTTACTGACCTAGTTTTTCATTTAGCTCCTCGACTATCCTTTTGCCTTCCTCGAAGATCAAGCAAAGAAGACCACGTCTTTGGTAACAACGGCGACAACACAAAATCACCTGGAAGATAAAAAAATTTTTTTCTTCTTTCTTTTTAATCATGGTATGTATAAATCGTTTCTTATTATTATGTTTCGTAAAGCGGAAAAGGCTGTTTTAACATGAAAATTTTACATGCATATCTCCCAAAATATTTAAATTTCATGCCATGCTCATGCTGCTTTGGAACGTTGCTGTAATTATTAAAGTAACATGATACCAACATTGCCGATTAATTTAAATGATTGAAACTTTTACATTTTCTATTATACGTTCTTTGGATTTTCTTTCAGTCGTATTATTCTTATTAATTTACTTTTTATGAATTAAAACAGAAAGTAATATGGGAACGTTGCCGGTAAAATCAAGTCATGAGATATAGTAAATCATATGATCCGTAATGTGATATTACTGGCAACTCTCCCATATCTTCACTTCATTACTGAGTTCACGATTTACTGTATACAAGATTTTCTGCCGACATTTCTAAAATAATCAATTAAATACATACATAAATTATTTTCGTTATTGCTTTTTTATTTTATTTGTGAAATTACTTTTCATGTAATATGTCAAATTATGAATGAATCATTTTTATGTCCAAAAAAAAAAAATAAATAGATTAATTTACATTGAAATTGTATTTTTAATGGAATAATTAAATGTACACCCAACTTAAAATGTCAACAATTGTTTATTGCGTCATGCAATAGTATTATGCATCACGAAAATTTTAATGGTTATGATAAAAAAGAATACACAAATGAAATTTGTATTTATATATATATATATTTGGATATATAAAAGTTTGTGCTTAATTTGTTTCGATTTACTGTAATTTTGTAATCTTTTCGTAAAAATCACTTCAAAACACCGATTTGCAAGGGAAATATGCAACATGAACTTTTATGGTAAGATTCCTCGGATTAAAAAACTAAACTAACTATTCTGATTGCGCACATGAGGTCAAAAAAAATTTTCTTCTCTCTCTTAACAAAATTTTTTTTTAAAAAAAATAGATAAATAAAAATACTTGAGTATGTATATAAAGGTTAAAAAATACGTTTTAAATAAGACTCATCTGCTAAGCTTTTTTTATAATTTTTATTTTAGATGGATAATGATACAGAAGTATGGACTCGAGGAGAAGTAATCGAAGAGACATTGGAGCAGCTTAATGAACTGTTTCGGACAGAACGTAATATAGTTATTGAAAATAGACTATACTACATATTCCTATGTGGAATGTTACTTCTCTTTATAATTTTTATTGGAAAAAACCTAAACCAAAAACAAAATTAGGTTAATAACAAAAAAAAAAAAAATGAAAATTATTTCGAAAATAATGCAATTTTGATTGTTTCTTCATTGCCATGTAACAGTTCCAAAAATCCACCACTTCTGCTCTATAAACTAACTATACATAATTTATACTATATACATGGTAGACAAGTTAACATGTAACTAATAAAAATGCTATTAATAATTACTTTTCTTTACTAAATTATCAGAAAAATATATAAAATAAAAAAATAAACTTTTTTTTCACATTATAATCTAAAATAAACAAAAAATATTGGGTTTAAATTCATTTCGCAAAATTTAAAATATGCTATTTAATAATCCAAATAGTTAAATTTAATAAAAAAAATATATATATAGTTGAAATTTTTTCAGTTAATTCAAAATAACCTGAAAAATTTAAAAAAAAATAATCTGAATCGAACTTATTAAAGAATATTTATATTAATCTAAAAATTTTTAAATAAAAAAATTTTTTCATCTTTAAAGCAATTTTATTAGTAAAAATTAATAAAGGTGTATTTGTATTTAAAATAATTTAAACTATAAAAAATTCTAATAAAAGCATTTTAAAGTTTGAAGTTACTTTTTTTTATTTCAGTTTAAACATTTTAAAAATTTGATTCAATTTTATAATTAATTTAATTATTATCTTTTTTTTAAAAAAATTCTTTATTTTTTTTTTAGTATTTATTTTTGCTCTTTTTTTTTATATCTTATAAAAACTTAAAAAATTTTATATTTATCTATATATCATACATAAAAAGTTTTTTAATAAATTTTTAATGTTAATAAAATATAATTATATTTAAAGTTTTAATATAATTCAAATCTTTTATTAGATTTTTTTTATAAGTTTAAATTAAAAAAATTTCTAGATTTTATTTAATAAATTTAAAAAAAATTTATTTATATAAATAATAACTGAAAATACAAATTCTTTTAGATTATAAATTTCTAATATTTTACTATTAATTTTATTTTATATAAATTATTTAAATTTTTAATATTAAATCTTATTAAAAAAAAAAAATAAAGCTATAATTTTAACTTTAATAAATTATAATTTTCTTTTAATTTATTAATATATTATTAATTAAAAATTCATTTTTTAAAAAAAATAATTCTTTATAAAATATAAAAAATTATATACAAATTTGATTTACTTATATAAACCTATTTTGAATGTTTAAACATTTAGTTTCATTAATTATTTTATAAAAATTTGGATATAGTTTTACTATTTTTACTGAATTCATTTTTAATTATTCTAACCTTTAAGTTAAAAGATTATAACAAATGATTCTATTTATTAGAATTTATAATCATAAAGTTTTTCTAAGTCTTATAGATATTTGTTATACTTGATAATTTATTATATCTTAGAATTTAAAATATATTTAGTTAAACTTATAATGACAAACTCAAAAACAAGTTGGTATAAAAAATTATAATAAATCTTAGATAAGAGATAATATTAAGAAAAAGTAATTTGTATAGTTTTAAATTGATTTCTTTATTTATAATATTGAAACTTATATTTAAAAAAGAGTTTTCAAACTTGTAAAAGAATTAATTTACAATTTAAGCAAAAACTAATACATTTTATACAAAATTAATCTATTATAACTAACTATTTGCTAAGCTATAAAATAATGAGAACTTAAAATAAACCTAATAAAAATATAATAAAAATACTAAAAATAATATAAATAATAACATAATAATTATAGCAAAAATAATAAATATTTATATTGATTAATTTTAATAATGTAATATAAATATTTCTTAATATAATCTACATGAAATTAAATTTAATAACTTTTGCAAATCATTTTTTAGAACTAATATTTAATATTAATACTATATAGTACCTATTAGATTGTAATTAAACTACTATTAAGTAAGGTAGTAAATATATATAGTCATTTTATGTATTAAAAAAATCAAGTTTTTAATAACTTGTAAAAACTTCTAGTAACTTTATATATAAATCTTAGAAAGCTTATATTAAATTTATAATAAATAAATTATATAAATTATTTTTATTTTATTTTATTTTTATTAATATTTTAAAATAAATTTAATCTTAAAAAAATATATTTATTAATTTATTTAAAAAAAATTGTTTAATGAATATTTGATAAAATAATATTTATAAAACTTAAATTAAAATTAAGTTTAAAAAAATAACATAAATTTTATTTATATTAATTTATAAATTTAATAATTTAATAATTAAATTTAAATTTTTAAAAATATAATAAAATTTTAATTTTTAAAAAATTATTATTAATATAATATAAATAGATTAGATTAAAGTATTTTAGCTTGTTTTAACTATTTAATATTTAATTATAATAAATATAATATTTAATTATAAAATTTGATATAATATTTAATAAAGTAATATTCAAAAATATATAAAAATCAATTATTCGCTATTTAATAAACAAAAGAATCTAAAAAAAAATTTAAAATATAAAAGAAAAATAAAATAATTAATTAATAAAATAAAATAAAAATATTTAGACTTAAAATTAGTATTATATTTTTACTACTTTAATATTTTCTTTATATATTTTATTAGTTTTTTAAGTGTTTTTTTAATTTTTATTAAATTTAAATTTTAGCAAATTTTAAACTTTATTTGCTAATTTACTAGTTAAATTAAATAGTTATTCATACAAATACAAATTATTTTTAACTTTTACTCATTTAATTTACTAGTAAATCTTACCTACTATTTAAAAGTGATTGAATCT